CAATGGAATAGAGGCCAGAGTGGAACGGGAAGGTCCGTAATGCAGGTGGCCTTGTGCTAAATCATACGGAGACGAGGCTTAGGGTCGAAGTCTGTGATAAAATAAGGATGCAGGAGTAAGTAACCATCCTGTAAGCCTATTCCCATGTCTTACCGTAACTAGCTTCCAGCCATTCAAAATGGCAACAGGCATTTGTTCGTTTCCAGATCGCGCCGGTCTTCGAAATTCATTCTTTATGAGCGGTACCACAATGAACAAAGTCGCACAGTTTAGCGACTTCAGTCAACTTCTACTCGTTTACGTTTGGCGAGTCTACTCACACGTCGTGAAAGGATGCAGGGTGATAAACTAGCGACAACGGCCCTTGTGTGTGTGTGTGTGTGTGTATTGAGGCTGTTGCTGTTGCCGGTCCCACCAGTGTATGTACGTGTTCACGGCGATGCTAGCGGGTATGCGAAGACTACTGTTTGCGTGTGTCTATGTGACCGACAAAGTACTAGCTGTAACGTGCCCCTACGATAGGTCGCACGGTAGAGGCGCTGTACCAACATGGGGGCCAAAACATGGGTATGGCAGGGGTAATTGGGGATGCACACGCATAACAAACGCCACACCTGGAGAGAGGGATGATGGCACGCCTAGACGTAGGCCCAGGTCGCGTCAAATATCTGCGCCCGACCCCGCGTCCAGCCTTCTTGACTCTGAGCCCAGGTGGGTAAAGTGAAGAGATACTGCAGTAGACGGTGGATGTTTAATTTAGGGTCCCAAACAGCTTATTTAATTAACCAGTTATTTGCCCGCGATATTTAAAATGGGTCAACAGTGCCCAATTGGACACAATCGTCAACCCTATAAGCGTGATATCAGCTCTATAGGGATAACTTTGATATACAGCTGATAAACAGTCGACGATTGTGTCCAATTAGGCATTATTGGGACATTTTAATTATCGCGCGCAAACACTCGGTTATTTTTTCATTAAAATAATTATTCCTATTATTTTCTTCTTTTGTGCGATCTACTTTTTAAATGATATTTTCTTTCCCCTGATATGCCCCAACCATTAAACTCTCATTAACACCTGTCCCGCATCACAGGGGGTGGGGTTTTCGCGGGCTGTTCGGAACTTCAAATAGAACTTTCGACAAACTAATTCACGGGTCAGTCAGGGTCTCCGCGCCCACCCCGCTATGGGGTACATCGCCGGTAATGACGGTCGAACTGGCTCCAAGACAAAGGGGTTGTTGGTTTTTTCCCTGGTCTATTCGGCGGATGGGATCTTCTGTTAGGCAAGACCCTTTTTTTTCTATAATAACGAAAAAACAGTGAAACGATGTACATGTCAAACTGGCCTAACAAACATTCCTATCAGTGCTTTCCGAGGCGCGGCAGATAGGGAGGTAAGTAATGTCGAATGAAATTTGGTGCAAAAAGCGATCACA